TTACAGAAGTGAGTGTTCCTGTCTTTAACACTCAGATGTCCAACTCCGAATGAGGTTCAAACCCCAAATAAATCCATTTTACCCTATATAAAGCTTATACAGGGTAAACTCATAAATGGTTCGCCCTCTATAACACTGATAGAGAGAGATGCACAGCTGTTTGCCCCCCCCCCCCAGGTATTAATACATACACTGGGTTAATTAATAAGTAAAGAGTGATTTTATTAAATACAGAAAGTAGGATTTAAGTGGTTCCAAGTAGTAACAGGCAGAACAAAGTGAATTACCAAGTAAAATAAAATACAACACACAAGTCTATGTCTAAGAAACTGAATACAAATAAAATCTCACCCAGTAAGCTTCCTTTTACAAACTAGTCTCCTTCTAGTCTGGTTCCAGCAATCACTCACACCCACTGTAGTTACTGTCCTTTGTTCCAGTTCCTTTCAGGTATCCTTGGGGTGGCGAGGCTCTCTCTTTAGCCAGCTGAAGACAACATGGAGGGGTCTCCCAAGGGTTTAAATAGACTTTCTCTTGTGGGTGGCAACCCCCTTCTCACTCCTATGCAAAGTCTAGCTCCAAGATGGAGTTTTGGAGTCACATGGGCAAGTCACATGTCCATGCATGACTCAGAACTACAGGTAGCAGCCATGGTTCACATGCTACCTTGAATGTCCTCAAGTAGATTTATTACGTGAATTGGAGCATTCCAAGATCCATTGTTCTTTAAGTGCTTCTTGCTTGGGCACTTAACTTTGCAAATTCCTTTCTAAAGAAGCTGACCAAATGCCTTACAAAGCTTACTTACAAATCAAGCAAGTATACAACTAATATTCATAACTTCAAGTACACAAATGATATAGGTGTACAAATAGGATGAATAGATTCAGTAGACCATAACCTTTACGGAGATAAGTTACATGGCACATGTAGCATAAAACATACTCCAATTATGTCATATTCCCATAAAGCATATATCATCACACTGTGGATAGAGGATTTCATTTTCTAGGGATGTCAACCAGGCATCTTTTACAAGCACTTCATTCAAGTGACATACACACATCACTGAAAACTGATAATAGCACCTATTTATCAGGGTTTGTTGTAATTTTCACAATCAGCTGTGTTTTAGGGAACTGTTTCAAGTGGCATTGGGCTGAAATATTGGCTCTACGCAAATTTTCTTTTTAAAAAAATCAAGGTATTTTTAAATCTGTTTTTCTCATTGAGATGAGCAACCGCATAACATACTTATGTGTTTGTATTTTTTCCTCTGTCCTGCAACCAAGGGCTTAATAGGGAAACACAGTCTTTTATAAGCAACTAATACCAAATATGAAATAATGTTTTATATTACATATTTGTGAAAATTGCTTTTTAAAACTACATTACTTTTTTACCTACTATTGGCACCAAAGTTTACTAGAGCTGAAAGAGATTGGAGGGGAAAAAATTCTCTGTTTCCCTTTATTGACTGTGGATTTGACAGCACTTTGAACTCCATCATTTCACATTCTCCTGTGTAGTCAATTTCCTCTGTTGTTTGTGTGTGGGTGTGGGTGTCCTCACAAAGTAAGGGAAAGGGATGGGGAAGTGATTTTTTTTAAAAACAGAAAATATTGCCAAATTACAAAAATTGGCAGTGAAACTCAGGGGCAGGCGTAATATAAGAAACTACTTCAACTCCTTTTTTGTAAATGACTAGATTTCAAGTAGACCGTGTCCCTTTAGCTCTAAGTTTATCTCTTTATGCAAATTTAAGTTTTTAAAGAGTGGTTGGTGCTTCATGGAAGATGTAGAAAAATAATCAATTTAAAACAGTTCTGTCTCTCACATATTTCTGTCCCCTCCACCCTGCAACTGATCGCTTTTATAAAGGGCATTTTAGTGAATATGAGATCTTTCCTAAGAGTTTTTCCCGCTCCTGCTGCTTACTCCCCACCTGAAGTGATAGTGCTTTGTGTATGACATTGTAATTGTTTCCATAGCAACCTGTTGTTACAAAACATTCCTGCTGTATCTACAAGACTCTTGTAAATAAGATATTATGTCTTACAAGGTACACTTTTAATAATTCAATAAAATAGACTATAGTAACTCTGAAAGAGCTGTTAGAATTGTGTTAGATTGAGAATTCTTTGGTTAGTGACATGCACTCCCCCAGCTCACTTTAACAAAAAGAAAAGCTGCTACTCAGTCAGCAACTTTTAAAATAAGGTCTTAATTAGTTTTAAAAAATAATTTCCTCTAAAACAATCTTTCTACTCACTGTAATTCATAACCTATACTCGGGGCCCCAGGTGCTATGTGGCCTAGTGGGATGCTGGGGCAAGCACCCCTCAATTCAGTGCCAATATTAATTTATTCCCTTTCCGTGAAATACCCTTCATTCCACTTCCCACCCCCTGCAAAAATACTTCCCTTGCTCTTTGTATCTATCAATCTCTCCATTAATATTTTGTAAGTAAATATTTTGTGCCACCAACACCTTTCTTGAATTAAAAGTTAGTAATTAAAATAAGACCATAAATACTAATTTATTACATGAGCTGTAAAGAATCCAGTACAGTTTACTGTGCCAAATAACATCACAGTCCTGTAACCAGATCTGCCAGCATGGATTCCTGCAGAGTTCCCTGAAGTACATGGGCACTATGTCTGTGCTAACAGATTCTACTGCAGAATTAGGCCTGTCCAGGAAAGAGATGTATATTTAGTGACCTATAGCGCACAGAACCAGGAGTAAGAGTTTCTGAGTTCTAATCCTTGACTTGCTCTATAGTTGGGCAAGTTAGCTATCTGTTTATCTCAGTCCTTATCCACATCTCTATTTCCCCATCTGTAACATGATAGAAATTATAATTACATATTTGACGATATTGCACATAGTGAATTATTGGAAAAATAGTCCACAATTTTATCTTCAGCCCACTACACTTTCATCGATGCAAATGTGGTGCTTTAAAACAAGAACACAGAAATGAAGCCAACCCTGCAAACTACTATTTCACTTCTATACAGAAAAATAAAAAGTAATGGAAGAAAAATCTTCAACTTGTTTTTCAGGGAAGACAAGTCGTTTTCCACCAATGATGCATCACCAGATGTCCCCTGATGGCAGGTCTTCTGGTGCCCATTTTCCAAGGTCTCACCTGGCAGAGGCAGTTGCCAAGGCCAAGGGTGGTGGAGGTGGTGGAGGAGGAGGTGGCAGTGGGAGAGGTCTCGTGGGGCAGATCATACCCATTTATGGATTTGGAATACTTTTATACATACTGTACATTCTGTATAAGGTAAGAATAAACATCTGTTTTTAAGACACTGATGCATGTGTGAAATCTCCTAAAAAGTCTAACTTTGGGCTTGTTTTAAAAAATTATTTAGACAAAAATATTTTTAGTTCAACCCAGCTCAGAAGAGGATACAAATTAGTGAGTCAGCAATTTAGGGGACAGTGACAAATGGGCATATTCCATATGATAGCTTTCACGATAGCAAACACAGTAATTAAGGATGTGCCTATATTAGAGACGCGGGTGTAATATCCATCTTGTGTAGATGTACCCACGCTAGCTTGCTAAATATAGCAGTGGGGACGCGACAGTGCGGCCCTAGCTGCTGCAGTGTAGATGTACCCTTAGGTTGCAGCAAAGGTCTTCCTATAATTTAGGTCCCACTATTTTCTGGGTTCATTACAATTCTTGTTTCTCCACAAAGTCTGAGAGACATAGTTAACTCTATTTTAACTATTTAAGGAAAACATCATTCGCTGGTGTAAATCATTGGAGTTGCATTAACTTCACTAAAAAGCAACAGAGAGTCCTGTGGCACCTTTAAGACTAACAGATGTATTGGAGCATAAGCTTTCGTGGCTGAATACCCACTTCGTCAGACGCATGTAATGGAAATTTCCAGAGGCAGGTATAAATATGCAGGCAAGAATCAGTCTGGAGATAACGAGGTTAGTTCAATCAGGGAGGGTGAGGTCCTCTGCTAGCAGTTGAGGTGTGAACACCAAGGGAGGAGAAACTACTTTTGTAGTTGGCTAGCCATTCACAGTCTTTGTTTAATCCTGATCTGATGGTGTCAAATTTGCAAATGAATTGAAGCTCAGCAGTTTCTCTTTGGAGTCTGGTCCTGAAGTTTTTTTGCTGTAAGATGGCTATCTTTACATCTGCTATTGTGTGGCCAGGGAGGTTGAAGTGTTCTCCTACAGGCTTTTGTATATTGCCATTCCTGATATCTGACTTGTGTCCATTTATCCTTTTACTTAGTGACTGTCCAGTTTGGCCAATGTACATAGCAGAAGGGCATTGCTGGCACATGATGGCATATATAACATTGGTGGACCTTCAGGTGAATGAACCGGTGATGTTGTAGCTGATATGGTTAGGTCCTGTGATGGTGTTGCTGATGTAGATATGTGGACAGAGTTGGCATTGTGGTTTGTTGCATGGATTGGTTCCTGAGTTAGAGTTGTTATGGTGCGATGTGTGGTTGCTGGTGAGAATATGCTTAAGGTTGGCGGGTTGTCTGTGGGCGAGGACAGGCCTGCCTCCCAAGGTCTGTGAAAGCGAGGGATCATTGTCCAGGATGGGTTGTAGATCACTGATGATGCGTTGGAGAGGTTTAAGCTGAGGACTGTAGGTGATAGCCAGTGGAGTTC